CCAGCTCTATGAAGCGCTGTCGAAAATTGCGCATAACTGTCTGATGAAAGGGACTGGATGTCGAGAGCATCCTGACTCCATTACGAAAGCGGTAAGTGGCAGTAAGGTTTGTATCGCCTCTGGTCGACGCAGCGAGCGCGCAAGGTTGTCTAACCAGAATAGCCAGTTCTCTTACCTGTTGCCGCGGCAAAAGTGCCGGGTTTGATACTTTAGCAAGCTTTTCATCTGCACAGTTATATCTTCTTCAAGCCCCCAGTGAAGTGCCTTTTTTGTCGAGCTTATAATCCATAAAAAGCTGCTGGCCAACTTTTGATGGAGGAGTACCCTTAAGGTCGCCCCATGAATTCAAAATACTTTGTAATGGCTTCGCCTTTATATTACTTAAGCATGGAAAAGATATCAATCGATCGACCAGATACAGTGCCCTCCTCGTCTGTTCAGAGTTTATTGGCTCATAACTAAGCTCGATCTTGATTAAACATTCAATTTTAAGCTCGCCGTACCATACTTCCAAGGCAAGCTTAGTCAGCAGCTCGACAGAGGCAGTACTTGGTGGGCTTCTGTAAAAAGCTCTGAAGAGAGATAAAAACTCGCTTTCTGACTCACAACCCAGGAACATAATGATCTCCAGCAGTCGGGCTCCTATTTATTTCCTATAAATTACTCTATTTTTCACCACCTGCCCCTGCGGAACACAGCCTTCTCGGTAGGTATGACCGCCAGTCAGTTTATATATGTAGGCTAAGTGCTGCCCACTATGATCCTGTGCCTCACTGAGCCCGATCAATTCCTCCATCCTCCAGCCGGAGCTTCCATTCAACCAACCAGGGCTAACTAGCTGTATACCGTCAACCATATGGGGGTTACTTTCTTTTTCTGTCAACAGGCCTTCAATAAGGGATGCTTCTCCCGTCAATAGCATTCTGCGCATCGTCAGTCCCCCGCTGTACTCAATGCGAGAGATATAAAACCATGGACAGTGCAGAGCTTGCTCAACGCACCGCCATAAGCGAGTCCCCCTCTCCAGAGAGCTGGGAGAGATCAAAGCTGCTGATTTCCGCCTGCTTGTGCGTTCTGAACATCTCGCCTCCAAAATGAACACTATAGATTGTAGTCCTAAAGGGCGCGAGACGGCTTTATCACTCATTTTGCGAGATGTGCAAAATGGAGTTGAAAACGGCTTTTGGTCAGGCCTTGAAGCAATTCAGGACCACGCATGGACTCACCCAAGAAGATTTTTCCGATGTGAGTAGCCGGACGTACCTAAGTACGCTGGAGAGAGGGCTCAAAAGCCCAACGCTGGATAAGCTTCAGGAGATCGCCCCGGTTATGGGCGTTCATCCACTTTCCATTCTGGTACAAACCTATCTTCTCCAATGCCCAAACCAAGGTATAGATGAGCTGCTTGAGCGTGTTCGTAAAGACCTTTCAGTCTTGCTTTGATCCTATCAAGACACCGGTTAGCCAAAAGAGCTCACCCGCGCCCAACGCAAACGAAGTGTTGAGCCGTATGATGTGCTTCGCTGCCAGCCAACGAACGATGGCAATCGCCACCCTCACCCCTTAGGCGTCTCATTGTAAGGCTCAACGTCCGCTACGGTAGCGACACAAGCAACCAACTCTCGTGAACTCGGGTCGAAGAGGCCGGCTGCCCGGGTAGGTGGCGTCGATCGGCGCGAAAAGGCGTGACCATCTCTCGGAAAATTGCTCCTTGAGAAATTTGCGCAGCGCGAAAGCTTGATCTATGGTCAATTTTATAGTTAGCGACATTGACCGGAGATCAATCCAGTGAACAACGCAGTTCTGCTTAAGCGAGCAATGAACTATCTGAAGCTCAGTGGTGTAGCTTTGGCCGAGCAGGTCAGCGCGTTGCGTGAGGATGGAAAACGGACGGCCCCGGAAACCATCAGCCGTTGGCTGAACGGTACCCGCCCTGTTGATCCATTTCTCATGGGGTGGATTGCCGAACTGGTGCGCTCCAAACTGATCAGCCAGGAGCCGTCACGAGTGGTCTTGCCCAATGGCAGGATCATAATTGCAGTCGCCAATCTCAAGGGTGGCGTTGGAAAGACAACGTTAGCGAGAAATCTCGCTGCGATTGCGAAATCTCTTCACTTGAAGACCACTTTTCTGTACGCCGAATATGACGATGCACGCCGTCGTGCCGGCTACGTGTTTTATGACCTCAAACCGCTCAACATCAATTGTCCTGACCTGAGCCCCGAAGAAATCCTCACCTACCAGCCAGAAGAGGGTGAAGTGGTGATTGTCGATGTGTGCAACAGCGTCACCCAAGATTCATTTCTGAAGGCCCGAGACCATGAACAGCCCTTGAAGCCACACCCAAAAGGTTTTCTGACGCGACTCAGGCCAGATATTTACGTAATCCCTGGCGAGTTTGCCAGCAGTCTGGATAACTGGGGTACGCAGCGATTGATCGAGAGCAACGTGCTCCAGTCACCTGTGCAGCTTCTGCATCGGCCAAGCCTGATGTGCATGGATTTCGCTAGCATAGCGAGCAAGGATGGTTTCGACGTCACAAGCGAAATGTTCTGCCCTTTTTTCATTCCGCAATCAGTTTCGACTAACTCCCCTCTTCCCCGTGATTTCATGAGTGAATGGCAGAACCTTGACCAGAAACATCATCACCATCGGCTGTTTGAACACTTGTTGTCGCAGGTCGGTGGAGAAGTCGTTGAAAGCTATCAGCTGAAACAGAGTGTAAAAAACGCGGGGCTTTTCGAGTTGCTGGATTTGGCGGAGGCCTGATAAGCCGGTCGTTCTGCCACTCAAGCCAGCCAGCGTTTCAGTGCATAAAGCGTGAGGGGGGTTCAGAAGATCGGGCCTACAACCTAAAGGTACGAGGTTGCTTGGTCATCAGACACCTCTATCTGGCGAGCATTCTCGGCTAAAAGGGTATCCGGTTTCATTAGGCCACTACAAAACCATCTTATTGCCTGGCCCTCATCCTGACACGAGTTATTACAAAGTGGACCCGCGTGAATGCCTCCATTAAGCAAACAACGACAGACGTGACTAGCCTGAAATCCACCCACGTAGTAGCTTTCAGCCATTATACTCGGCATCAAGTTCATAACCTTGCTGACTCGCTTTCGTAGCGTGTTTCTCCCGCGGCTGAATGCCATTCCGGTGTCTTGAGCAGACAAGCCATCACCCCTATCTGATATGGACATCAAATGCCAAATCTGATTTGCACCGCTGATATTAATGCTTCACTGATTGATCAGTTCTCCGCCCAAGGCATCGGTTTCCCGACCAAACCATGCTCAACCCCGAAACGGGTGAGCCTGACGCCTCCGTACTTGAACGGATGATAGGCATGAGCCGGGCCTTTCGGCGACTGCAGACCAAGGTGAAGCCTGGTGCGCGGTTGATGGATTTTCAAAGAACCTCCACTGGTCGCCTGAAACTCCTCCTCAAGGACTTATACAACTGCCATCAACGCTTACTTAAAAAGTCGAAAGGGAAAGACAGCATCAGCAGCTGGGAATGGGGCATTTTCCTTGAAGTCGACGCAGCATGGTATGAGCCCACTAGCAGGGTTGCCCAACGCTTCAGTGAGTTTTCCCAAGAAGATCAGAAAGTACTGGATGCCATGCTCGAAAAACGGCTGGACTGGCTTGAGACATCCAAAGGCTGGGAGGCCAACATTCGAGACTTCATAAAGGCTCGCACGTACGTAAAGCAGCTGAGTGGCATGGTAGGGATCCTGCTCGATCAGCTGACGCAATGGGACAGTCTCGGCGAAGACGAGAAGCAGGTGTTGTCGGACTGCGCCTATGCCGTCGCCACACCGTTTGGCAACGAGATCCTAGGCATCTTCGTGACGCGCCAACCAGAGCTGATGGCGTACTACTCAACCATGCTGGAAGACGAAAGAAAGTCCAAGCAGGTTTTCAAGGATGCACTCGAAGAGCTGCCAGATTTGCCCGAGGCGGTCACCGAACCTCCCGCAGCTATTGTCTCCTCTGCCGCCCCGCTGAGCCTGTTTAATCTCTACAGCGAGCTCTTCCAGTTGGCGGAACAAGCTAAATCCGATTCAGGCAACCTCCGATATGCGGAGCAAATCGAGGCTCTGATCACCTCGAACCTTCCTCGCCTGAAAGAGGAGTACTCACTCAGCGATGATGCCGTTCGAAAAATACTGACTGAGTGCATCGATGCCCTGATCAAAATCGGCAGAGAGCTGTCACACCAGATTTTCGATGACGGTGAATTCCTGTGCGCGTTCAAGGCCGCCTGGTTGGAGTACTTCAATGAGCGGTTACAGGATGAGGTACCGGAAACCTTCCTGGCTGATTTGACCGAAGAGCGAGAGGTAGAGTCGGAGGGAATCAAATCCCGCCTTCAAAAGGCTGAAGCGCTTTGCGTCCAAATCGAAAATGACCTGGTAGGCTTGAACGAGAAGCTAAAAGTTGCCAATTTCCGTGAAAAGAGCGAATTACGCAGCAGCATTACCGTGGCTGAAGAGTCGCGCGCAAGAAGCCACAGACTGCAGCAAGAAGTCGAACAGGAAGGCTGTGATCTGCTGCTGCCTCCCGGCTACCTGCTCGAAACATTGGACGCTGAGGGTGAGGGGCTTGTACTGACTCCTGATGCTTATCATCCCTCAGCCAAGATCGCACTTAAGGCATGGTCAACAACCGCTTTGGGTGGCCTGGCGTCCTCTACCCTCCCCGTTCATCCCAAACCCGACAGCGATTTGACCGCTGAAGACCAGCAGGCGAGCTCAGCGTTTGAAACGGATTCGGCTGAAGCTGAAGCGAGTAATAAAGAGCCAGAGCCCCTTGACGAGCCTGAACTAGTTACTGAACCCGAAACGATCGAAGCTCCTGAGCCCGATCCTGAGCCTTTAGTCGGCTCAGTGGTTGAGCCTGTCTCCGAGTCTGATGAACAGGCTGAAGACCATAACTTAGCTTCAAGCCCCATCGAAGTCACCGCCGCTGTAGAGGAGCCAGACGGGTTCATGTCGGCTGATTCGGCGGAAGATGACGTCAACATTTCTCAGTTTTTCAACAAGCCAACGAAAGCGCGTGAGCGACTGGAGCATTGCCAGCAAACAATGGATGTCGTTCCAGCCATTGCCGTCGAGAACCTCGCATTGCTATGGATGAAACGTGGCGAACTTCCTCTAGCCAGCAAGACGCTGGAAATCGCTGGGCGAATGGGCCTGGCAGGAGATCTGTTATCGCTGCCACTGGTTCAGGCCGCGTACCACGGCATGCATGTTTGGCGTGGCGATACTGCAACCGTAACCCGGGTTCAGCAGAACCTGCACCAGCTTTCCTCGGAGATCATCGAGGGTTGGATCTATCGACGCCCAGGGGGACGCGTTGTTCCCTATCTGGTGTTTGCCGCCACCCTGCAGCCGACGCTGTTTTTCGGCATGATGACCAACGCACCACGCCTGCTCGCATCCGTCCTGAGCAACTTCGACGGCCCCGTTTCCAGGCTGATCGAAGAAGTCGTCGATTTCTCGAGCCACAACACCCGGATGGATGTGGACACCCTCCGGGAACAGCCAACAAGCAACGACAAGGATGCGCGAGACAAGCGCGCAGCACGCCTTGTTGAATGGCAAGACCGTATCCAGAACAAGCAAACTGGCTGGGCCCCGGCACGCAAAGCGATGAAGGAATGCTTGGCGCGCGCCGATTTTATTCTCACCTACGAGAGCATCATCAAAGATGATGCATCGCGGATCGACGAGGTTCGTGCGTTTGCTGATCTGTACCGAGACAAGGACGAGCAGTTCCGTCTCATGACTGCTGAAATTCATAAGGTGATGAACGAAAGCACCGCTGCTCCTCAAATCGAAGGCAACGCTCGGAACTGGTTCCTGCGCTCGGTCGACGAGATCGTGGAAGTCGCGGATGAATGGATCGAAGTTCACAGCCTGTTGGGACAGCGTACCAGTGAGGTCAGCAAGTTCGCTCCACGCTTCCTGACAATGCTTTCGGCAGCATCCGCCCACTTAGAGGAGCGCTACCAGAGCACCGATGACCCAGAACAGCTTGCTGGCCTGCACCTCGCCATCGCAGTCCTGCAACGCATCAATAATGTGGTGGAGCGCAATGAAGAGACCATCTGGGAGGTCTCGCGCATCAACGGTTGGCTTCAATGGCCAACTGAGTGGCTTGCGACCTCAACAGACGACAACGCATCCCACCAGCTAGCGCTTCTGACGAAACTGCTTGAGGACGGCATGAGCGATTTGGAACTCGCCGACCAGGCTCTGGAGCGCAAGAATTTCCGCCATGCGTTGCTTCTGACGCTCAATTATCAAGACTCGTACAAGGGATCGATGACTGAGAACATCGAGGCGATCAAGCGCGCCTTCTCGGAAGAAGTGCACCAGTGCAATGTCCGAAGCGATATGCTGAGGGGATTGTTGGATCACGCCAACATTGCCTCGCTGATCGACGATGAGCGGCATTACCAACTGCGCGGCGAGCTTGAGCACCTTCAGGATCAGCTCAAGAACCTTCGAGCTCTGGATGACCTCGGCGAGATCCATCAGAGCTTGGACACGCTTCAATCCAGCATCGAAACCAAGTTCTCTACCAAGAAAGAGCTCCTTGAGGAGGCACTGGAAGCGCTGGTCAATCAAGCGTTGATAGATCGCGGCGTAGATTGGGTGCCTGCAACCTGGCTTGAGCAGATCCGCGCAGCGCTTAGTACTCATGACACGACCGTCGTCGAGGAGATGCTTGAGCATTTGAAGCACTCCCTGGATAAGGGTGAGCCCCTGCAGAGCGATACTGAATCGGGTACCGAGCTGCTAAAGCGCTTCCTCCTTCTAGAGCCTCAGCTGTATTCGGTTTTGAGTGACAACCACAATCCACGTGAAGTGATCCGTCATTTATCGAGCGCAAGGCTGCCCGGTTTGTCTCTGGAAGCGATCCCATCCTGCTTCAAACAGGCTATTGAGGATCTGATCAGCCTACGCCGTCGCGTTAAATCGTTGGACAAGGTTACCTACGAAGAACTGGTGCATGTCCTTTGTGCATTAGGCTTGGACGCCGTTACCCCCGCCTTCAACAACTCAACATTGATGCGTACTGGCTTTTTATCCAGGGGGCGTATCGCCCATCTCACCCTCGCTGTGAAATGGCGTGACACAGGGCGAGGCATCGTGTTCTTCGATCAGAAATCGGAAGTGCAGGCCATCAATGTGCTGCTCGCAAACTCCGAGTGGACGCTGGCTGAGCTGCGTAAGGTACTCACTGAGCAAACTCAGTTCCTGCACGATCGCACAGTCCTGATCTCAACGCGGGAGCTCTCGAATGATGAGCGCAACGAGCTGGCCAAATTCTCCAAGCAGCAGCGGCACACGTTGCTTCATGTTGATCCCGTCCTCCTGGCGATGCTTGCCGGCGTTGGTGATTCGGATCACCAACGCCTCAAGACCTTCCTGCAGCTGAGCTTGCCATGGACGTTCAGCAACCCTTACACCGGTGAGCAAATGCAGCCGGCACCGCCAGAAATGCGTTACGGACGGCAGAACGACGTCAAGTCCCTGATCACCATGCGCAACGGCGCAGCCATGATCTTCGGCGGTCGCCAACTGGGTAAGACGACGTTGTTGAACGAAACTCAACGACGGTTCCACAACCCTGATCAGCGCCACCATGCCTTTCTGTTCCAGATGGACGGAAACCTGGATCGCGCGAACCTGTCTGGCAACGAGCTAGAAAAGCACCGTAATCGCGTCTGGGCGAACATCTACAGTGCTGCTGTGTCCGCCGGGATGGTTAATGAAGCGCCTAGTCTCGACGCAGCCCAAATGAGCGACGCGCTGCGCGAGTACTTCGCGAAAGACAACCCTGACGCGCTCATGGTCTGTCTCGATGAAATCGACCCGATTCTGGGGCTTGATGCTGCCAACGGCTTCCGTATTTTCCGAGAGCTCAGTGGTCTCGTTAACAACAGCAATGGCCGCTTCAAAGTTGTGATTGCGGGCCTTGAGAACGTTCGCCGATTCGCGGACGCGCCGAACTATCCGTTGCATCAACTCGGTAGTGCGATCCAGGTCTCGATCATGAGCCCTGCAGAGGCGCTACAACTCATTCGCGAACCTCTTGGGCATCTGGGATATGAGTTTGAATCCCCCTTGGTGATGAACAGGATTCTTGTCGAAACCAATCGACATCCCGGTCTGATTCACATCATCTGCCATGAACTGATTCGCATCTTGAATGCCCGCCATAGCAGTCGGGTTGGGTCGATCGTCATCACAGCTGATGACATCGAACAGATCCGAAAAGATGCAGGGATTCGGCAGCTCATCTGCGACCGCTTCGACATCACGCTGAACCTCGATCTGCGCTATAAGCTGATTGCGTACAGCCTGATTTCACATAGCACCAGCACCTTCTCGCCTAGCCTCGCCAAGGCCATTGTGCGGGAGTGGGCTCCGCACATTTTCGAACCAATGACCGATGCACAATTTGAAGCATTCCTGGACGAACTGTGTGGTCTCGGAGTCTTGCAGCAAACGCGACGCCGGGAGGGTGGCAAGGAGTACGCCCTGCGCAACGCCAACATCATGAACCTGATTGGCGGGCAACAGCGAATTGAAGATAAGTTGCTGGATGCGGTTGATGCAATTAATGAGAACGACGCCCTGTCAGCGCACGCTTTCCCAGGAAACGCTACTCGTCCTTCACCCCTGACGCTTCGGGACGAGAAATTGCTCATCAGCGAAGAGGTACGAGAGAAGCCTACGTTCGGTGCCATTGAGGCACGCTCTTCAAACTACTCCGTGGGCATCATCACGGGCTCCGAAGCCCTGGGACTCAACCCTCAGTGGATGATTGAGTCTCTCTTGGCGATTGGCGAAGAAGAGCCGGAGCTCAACGCGAACCAGACCTCCGGTCGTTACTTTCCTGCCCACAAGAAAGACACCGACCTGGCCAGCGCCAGTGAATTCAAGAAGCTGCTGGTCGATGGCGTCATGGGTGTTCAAGCCCTACGCAAGCACATCATGCTGTTTGTGGAAATCACTGGTGATCAGCCCATCAGCATGGCGCTAGATTTGCTCGACGTAGCCCATGAGGCGCGCCTGATCACCAACGCCAAACGCAATCGCGTTCGTGTCATTTTCCTTATGTCACCACGCGCTCTGTGGCAGTGGGAGTCTCATCCACAGCTGATTGAAGGTCGCGAAGCCATGCAGCCCTTCATCGCCCTGGATGTATGGAAGAAGACCGCTCTGATTCACCTACTGAACAAGCTTGAGCTTGAAAACACCTCTACCTCGACCAATACGTTGCAAGACTTCAGCCAGGGCTGGTACTTCTCCCTGGACAGGCTGCTGGCGGCCAAGAAGAAGAAGCCCGAGATTGTGAAGGTAAACGGCTTCGGTGCGGCTTATACATCGCTGCTTCAGGCCAAATCCAAAAGCATGGATGAATTCCTTGGCAAAGCGGGTGTAACCGCCGTCAGCTGGGCGCGGCATGTGTTGAGCGCACTGTGTGAACAAGAGCGCTTTGACGAAGAAGATATCGAGCTGCAGCTCATGGACTCGTATGGAGATGTCAATCCACAGCAGGCGCTTCGTTGGCTGACACGTCTGCGCCTGATCGCCCCATGCGAAGGCGTGACGAAGAAGAAACTCTATAAAGTCCCAGACAGCATCAAAGCTGCCCTGCTCGTTAAATCGCCGCAAGAAGCCAAGGCTTGATCATGACCCAGGAAAAACAAAGCCAATTCGGCTGGGTTCAGGCAATGAAAGGAGCTTGGGGATCCGTTCCTGCAAGTGAACTGCTTCGCCCCGACTGTACGACGTGGTCATCGATCAGCTTGACCGCTCCAGACGAAGCTGAGAGCGCAAGCTTCGCAGTTGCAGGGAGGGCGCTTAAGTACGGTCAGTCCTTAGCTATTGCCCTCCCCTAATGGGCGGCGAAGGGCTCACGCGCCTGATGGTTTATCTTCACCGTATCCGCCTGGACTCGCTGCAAGGAGGGATCCGCTCACCCTGGCTCAATCCAGGCAATATGGAGCGCTGCCCGGATATCGTCCTCATTTCGCGTCCACGCGCGGGATTCCACGATCTGTCACGAGTAGCAGCGTTACGTGCCCGTGTGTTGCGCGCATCCGATTTGAAGCGCAACAAAGCCTCTGCCTCACAGACACTTGTGGTGGACGGTTCCACAGATGTCATGGAGTTGGTAGAGGCCATCAGCAAGGGAAGCAAACCTTTCGTATTGGTCGTGGATGGTACGCGAGGAGGCAACGAGAATGCTGCTGCCGTGGATAGAGCGCTGTCGGAGAGTTTCCCTGAAGTACCTCGAATCACGCTTTTCTCGCTGGGTGACAGCGAGGCGCTGGAAAGTATGCGCTCCAACGGAACGCGTAGCCATCTGTGGGTAATGCGATTGGGCGACAAAACCGCGCTGACGCCACCGGCACGCTTGGACGCTCGATTCCAGCTGACGGTAATCCAAGATCAAAGAGCAAACACCGAGTTAATACAGCTCGCAGACCGATTCTTCGGTCTGCGGCGGGAGCTGGATCGAAAGGATGTAGTGCTGAAGGAGCGCCTGGCCATCATCGGCAAAGTCTTCCGCAACTTGAACGAGCTTCCCGTACCGCTCCCCTACTTGGAGAGCACGCTACAAGCGGCTACTCGACCTGGCCTTTTCCCGACTCGCTGCCTGGAGCGATGGCTACAAATCGCCGACAAGGGAAGCTGTCTGTACGGTGAGTCAGATGTGGCTTCGCGTAACCTGATCAAGCAGCTGACGGAGCTTCACCAACTCTTTATGCAGTCCGTAACCGGTAAAGCTGGATGGCTACTGAAGCACCTCAAAGAGTCATGCGCGCAGAAATACTCCACACTACTTCTGTGCGGTAGCCCCCATGAGGTTGCTGCTCTAGAAAACTGGTTTGACGATGAGCTCACCGAAGGCTGGAATGAGATCGTTCAGATCACCGCAATGGACGGAGTCAAAGCCTATCGGCAGTACACCGGGGCGGTCGATGAAGTCATCATCACCGGCATGCTTTGGCCAAATCGGCAGCACTGGTTAGCAACCCCATGCCGCCGCATGACCATCCCCACCTACGATTATGAAAGACCTTTTGTAGAGCGAATGCTGCATCTGTGGTGGTCAAAACACGGCGCTGATAGCCGGATCGATGGCGACAAGCTGACACACTGGCAACTCGGCTGGTCTGATCGTCGATGTGATGACTCTGATACTCAGCTATTGTCGCTCCCCCTGGAAACAGCCATACATCCCGATTGCAGTCAGTATCCGCCTAAAACGCGCGAGGTCTTCATTCCGTTAGCGATGGAGTTCGACGATTGGTTGGAGTTGCTGATGGAGCAACCCGTGGAACCTTCCACCCCCGCTCAGCGTGGCGAGGTAGTGGTGCCGGATCTGGTGTGGATCGCGCTTGACGACCAGGTGACAGAGTTACCTTGGAGCAAAACACGTCCGGTGCTCGTGCTGCGGGAGGAAGAGATTCACCCAACGCTTCCGGATGAACTTGTTGAAGGCGATCAGATCATCCTGCTTCGACACTCCGATGAACGCATTGCCACTCAGGAAAAACTCTTCGAGATGCTGGCCCTCTCTGAGGGGATGCAGCAGCTCCTCAGGTCGGCCAATCGTTGGAGAACCATGGTCGACAACGTCTCAGCCCGCCTCACAGTCGCTCAAGCGCAAATTCAGTTGCGGAAGGACAAAGTGAAGGTATGCGACGCAACAGTTGGCAACTGGTACCGACACAAGGTGTATGGGCCTCGTGACCGGGGTGCGGTCAAAGTGTTCGCCCGACTCTCCGGCGCCAAAAATATAGAAAGAACTGCGCTCTACGTTGCCAATGCCATCGAGCAAATACGCATCGCCCATCAGCAGGTTGGCAAACAGCTCCGTAAAGCCATTCTGGAGCGAGGCGCTGGGGCCACCACTGTCGAGATTGGTCAGCTGACGTTGGACGGTCGGGCGTTCGACGACATGATCGAGTTAGCAGTGGTGAGGTCGATCAGAACTGAAGCCACACAGGTCATCGCGACAAAAGAGGATGGCTTGGTCGATATCGTCAACGGAGTTGTGGATACCCACCCAGGGCGAATCCACATGACCACTCCAGCCATCAAGTCACTACGAGACTCGGTCTATCGCGACCACGGTAAATTTCGAGCATGCCTGTCTTTGATGGCCACCAAGCTATATGACCACTACAGCGAAAAAGCAGGTCGACTGCATGACGTGCTTGAGCACTTCAAGCTGGAGAGCATCGACTTCGAGCCAAAAATGTCACCCGTGACCATGGGCACGTACGCGGACAACCGCAAGTACAAGGGCAAGCCTGCGAACATGAACAGGCACTTCTGCCTTGGAAATGCCCGTGATCCTTCACGCACCTTGCGCATCCATTTCGACTGGGATGCCGATGACAAGTTGCTAGTCATCCATCACGCCGGCAAACACCTGGAAACCACACAATCTTAAGGACAAACCATGGCTCTCAATTACCGCCAAGAGATGGGCCTGACGGCAGCATTTCTTGAAGAGATGCGCTTGCGACTGAGTGACAAGGACGTAGATGTGCTGCCGCCAGACGGCAAGCTTTATCACGGTGTCGAGCCCAGCCGGGTCAGCTTGGTTGGCTGCCTGGGCGCAGCCCCCGACCCAGAGTACACGGGCCCGCAGCCTCCTAACTCCATCGGCATCGTGCTTTTGGTTTCTCCCGATGAGGGAGGCTGGATCAAGTGCGAGTTGAGCGGCCAGTTCGACGTAGTGCATCGATATACCCCTGACCTACGTGTCATGGAAGAAAACCTGGCGCTTGATTCCGGCTTGCCACGAAAGAGCCAGACACTGCCATTAGCCTTCAAGCGGTATACGGTAAGTTTCTCATCGATCACGCTCGAGCTTGACCCCAACAAACCTAACGAGTGGGTGTCAGGAAAAGCAGAGATCGCGGCAACCCTGATTGCGGAACAGCAGCGATGGATTAGCGACCCCAGGATCATGCGACGCTGCAATACGAATGCGAACGGGAATGCCAGATTTGGTTTTAACTGGAGTGACACCGCCATGGTCGACCAGGCAAGCCTGAACCGCACAGTCCACGAGCAGATCGTCAGCGATCGCACTGCAATTCTTAACTACGCGATAAACCTTCGCGCTCGCCTGCGCCCTACCCCGTCTGCATTTGGTACGAATGCCCTCGGCAGCTTTTTGCTGGAAATTTTCCTGGAGAACCAGACCACCACCGATCACGCTCGGGCGTTTGGGGTCGACTCTCCCTACCTGCTGGATGCCCGCCTGGTCGCCAAGCTAGTTGCCGGCGAAGCCTACAAGGTACCTCATCGCTTGCAGCCGGAAGAATACCGCTACCGGGACAATGACGGCCTTCCAGGTTACGGGATCAGCTGCGCGGTGGTTGAGGTGCAGAAGAAACTGTTCAAGACGGATGGGATGCCAACCTTCGCTCAACCCAGGGTAGAAGCACCATTGCCTGCTGAAGTGGGAATGGACTGCGCCCCAAGCTATGAAATGCTCGCTCGCGATCCGCTCCTGGTGTGCGACAGTTTTTTGCAAACGCAAGAGCGCTACCTTGATCAATGGGCAGTACGCATCAGTGCTCTTGAGTCAGCGGGTCTGATGGATGACAAAGATGTCGCCATTGCTGACCGCAAAGCCTTCCAGGAGGAAACAAGCCGTATTCGAGACGGCGTTGAGCTGTTGCGAAACCATGCTGATCTACGCCAGTGCTTCAAGTGGATGAACGAAGCCATGGGCGCCGCCATCAGGATCCAGGGGAAAAGGTTCACTGGATGGCACTTGTTCCAGCTTGGATTCATCCTCTCGCAAGTACGATCGATTTACGAACGGCACGCCACCCTTGCTGAGCTGCGAGGCAGCATGGAAACAGCCGACGTACTCTGGTTCGCCACAGGTGGCGGGAAGACCGAAGCGTACCTTGGCATCATCAGCATGGCGTTACTCTACGGTCGCCAGAAAGGGCGCGATTATGGCACAACGGCATGGCTTCGATTCCCCTTGCGGATGCTGTCCGTTCAGCAGTTCCAGCGACTTTCCTACGTTCTGGCCCAAACGAACATCCTGCGTCATCGCGAGCGCCTCGGTGGATGGCCATTCACGATTGGCTACTACACCGGCGAAGGCACCCCTAACCGGGTAAGCAGCACCTTTGGCGACGATGTACAGAAAGGCTTCCTGCCATCGTTCAGCGACGAGCGCCTGAAGTCGTACCAGTTCATCACGGACTGCCCTTACTGCGGTACCGTCAGTTCTATCGGTATTGCAACCGATATGACGCAAGCACGTATCAAGCATGTCTGCAGCAACCCTGAGTGCTGGTCGAACTGCGGAGCTGATCCAGGAGAGCATGGCCGGGGCATTCAGGGGGAGATCGGAATCTATGTCTCGGACGAAGAGTGCTATCGGTACCTTCCCTCGGTCATGGTGGGTACAGTGGACAAACTCGCCGTCATTGGCCACAACCATCGTTTCGTGAACTTCTTTGGCGGAGCGCGCTTCTTCTGCCCAGAGCACGGATTCACGCAGCGATCCAAATGCGAGCACCACCGAATTGAGCAGCGAAGCGATAAGTGGGAGGCCCTCGACTGCGGTAACAACACGCGAACTAGCACAGTCAGGGTAGTCCCCGTCGCGCCCATGAAAGACCCTGGTTTTTCACTGTTGGTGCAGGACGAACTGCACTTGCTTCGTGAGTCTTTGGGCAACTTCGACGCCCATTACGAAACCCTACTCAGTACCTTGCAAATTAGCCATGGTGGTCGAGCGCCCAAGGTGCTCTCAGCGACGGCCACCATCAAGGATTTCGAAGACCACATTCATCACCTGTACCTGCGCGATGCCGTTCGATTCCCAGCACCTGGGGTCAACCAGGGAGAATCGTTCTACGCCCGCAAAGCGAAGGATGACGAGACAGGCTCACAGCTGATCCGACGATGGTTTGCCGGGATTCTTCCCATCGGTCGTGGCCGGGTTGCCATGAAAGCGGTAGCAGAGGCCAGCTCTCGCTTTCTGGATCAAGTCGACGACTGGCGAGCCAAACTTGCAGCCTGTGACGCACCGTTGCTCCAGGCAATAGAGTTAAGCACCAGCCAGAGCCAGGACGCCCTGCGCTACATAGAGAAAAACCTGAATACCGATCTGGTGTACGCCAACAGCAAGCGCAGCATCACCGAGATCATGCGCTACATGGAAGAGGTCAATAACAAGACCAGCGTGGAGCGTAAAGCTCGACTGCTGGACGGTGAGACCCGTCTGGACATGATCCTTGATGCGATTCGCCATGTTGAGACGAAGGATGCCGATGACAGCTGCCGGCATATCATCGCAACCAGCGTCGTGTCGCACGGTGTCGACATCGCGGAACTGAACTTCATGATCGTCGCAGGCTGGCCTAAATCGACTGCCGAATACATCCAGGCCTCTGCTCGAAGTGGCCGTGTGCACCCGGGCATCGTGCTCTGCGTGCTCTCGTCTCACCAACTGTTCGAGTCTGGTGTATTCATGAACTTCGGTGACTACCACACGTTCCTGGACCGTTTGGTGGATTCGGTACCGATCAACCGATTCGCGCCAAACATCATCGATCGCACGCTGCCGGGCGTGCTCTCTTCAGTTCTGCTCAACTGGGCACCCCAGCAAAAATGGGGCAGCGACTTGAATCACAAGGTGAACAATCTCGTCTCGCTGTTGCGTAGCGACATCGGGAAAGCTGCAGTCGCGGAAATCAAAGCGGTAGTGATCAACGCGCTGCGCATCCCGGCTGCACTGAGCGCCAAGTTTGACTCACGCGTCATCGCAGGCTTCGACGTTGCACTGGTTAGCCGGGTAGACAATGCGTTTTACGAACTGGAGCGATGGCCGGGAAGCAAGAACGAGCAGACATTGAGCGAGGCCCTGGGTGACATTTTCGGTTATGCCCCATTCCGCTCATTCCGCGATATCGAAAACCAGATTTTGATCAAGCCAGTCAACAACGCAGCTGATCAAGTATTCATGGCATTGGCCAGGTAAGGGGGAGAATGGACAAGGAATATGTAAGCCGCAGTCGCCTTTTCAGGGAAGCCTTCCTCCCTGGCGCCTATACACGCCTTCGCAACCAAGCCTATGGCCGCGTGATGGGGATTATCAACAACAGCGGGTCAGCGTTGGAGGGGGTTGATAAAGAACAGCTGCGCGAAGCTGTCCTGACCTTCGTAAATGACTGGGAAAACGCCGGTGGCGCAGTCGACCCAACCTTCAGGACTGCTGCTGAAAAGAAGCGGCTGGAAATTCAGTCCCCCTCAGAAGTATTTGTTTCTCCCGCCCCGCTGATCCTTAGCTGTAAGCGGTGCAAAGTGCTCGACTTCTATGACTCGCGCGAGCCAGAAGATCGCACGCTTTCCAAGATGCAAGCGCGGATCAAGGAACGTCACGGCAGAACCTTCATCGCATGCAAAGGTCAAGGTTGCTCAGGGGAGATGATCCAGCTGCCATTCGTTTCAGTGCACCGGTGCGGGCATGCCAGCCCTGTACACATCCCGCACATTGCTCGCCGTTCTACCAACATTGGCTACCGGGATGCCGGCTCGTTCTTTCACTCATCTTTCTTCGACGTAGATTCGAATGACAAGCTGGCTGGTACATTCCAAGACGACTGCCCGGCCTGCAATAGCCAGTTTTCAGCCGAAATTCAAAAACGCGGGACGCCCCTCACGAGCGGTGAGTCTTTCTACGCCCAAAGCACCCAGTACATTGCTCTGAGCGAAGACCGAGGGAGGCTCATTTCGCGCATCCTGCAGTGCTTTCAGGACGATCAAGTAGGCACAGGGGCTCGGCCCAAGACGTCTCCGAAGGCGTAGCACTTGCGTTGCTGAAGAAAATATCGGGTCGCGAACTCGAGCAAAAGCTGTCCTTGCTGCTCTCTGCAAATATCGGGGATGAAAATGAGCAAGCCACTCTGCGCGCGCAGTTAGAGAAGAAAAAACTCAGCATCGCGAAATATGAGGCGTTGGCAGAGGACGATGAAGATCTGGCCGAGATGCTCGACTCAACCCGAAAAGAAGTGGTGGTGATCGAAGGCAAGCTCGCGGCCTCTTCAGGTTGCTTCAGCGCCGCACGTGATCACATACCGGAACTCACTACGCTGATCGAGTTGGTCGGCAATCGGCGAACGCTGGAGGCCGTCTTCCTTCCCCATGACGTTCAGGGTAGAACGATCGAGCAGGAGATCGAAGAAACTTCAGATAGCGCGCAGAGGGATGCGCTCGCCGTTCAATGGCAGAGCGTCCAGAATCGCTATGGGATCGACTCGATCACGCACATTCCAGACCTTCGGGTGGTATTGGCTACGCTGGGTTACACACGAGAAAGAAGCGGGCCTTCGGTCAACCCTGACGCTCCACCTGTAGTACTCAACGCCTTTGCTGATCGCGTTGACGAAGCCATGAAAGGCAAAACATCCATCTATGCGATGTCCGCAAAAACTGAGGCACTCTGGATCCGCCTGGATCCACGCAAGGTACTTCGTTGGTGTATCGAGTCTGCATACCTTCACTCACCAGGCGATGATGTGCTCAGCGATAAGGCTCGCAGCCATGCGCATCTGCTGAGTCATTACAACGTCCTGGCGATGCACCCTGGCAAGGCTGCTAGGGAGATCCCGTCTCGTAATCCCGAAGAGGGAGCGCCGTTCAACCTGCTTCACTCGATCAGCCACTCACTCATGCTGACCGCGCGCCGTCATACAGGGTACGACTCAAAGAGCATCCAGGAATACCTAATCCCCATGGACTTGTCGGTCATTCTGTACGTCTCCTCTGTCCAAAACTACACGGCTGGCGGGCTGTTGACCTTGTTCCAGCACTACCTGCAACCCTGGTTTGACGACGCGAGCATGTTCGCATTCAACTGCGCATTTGACCCCGTTTGCACAGATGTTGGTAACTCCTGTAGTGGCTGCGTCCAGATCGAAATCGGCTGCGAAACTTTCAACCAGGGCCTGTCCCGGGCCTACATCCACGGTGGCCCGGCCAATCGCGAAAACTCTTTGATCATTCGCAAGGGCTACTGGGATAAGAGGTCGTGACACGTTATAGGACGTCAAGGGGACCGGAACATGCATGCCGGCCTCCTTCATGCCCTGCCCCTAGCGCTGTGCTGATGTCAGGGTGGTACGCTTGCCACCTGACATTCAGGAGTGAAGAAATGCTTGTCGAATTCGACCTCAATCAGAACGACAGGGACGCGCTTTTGCGCCATTGCCAGTCATTCGTACGATCCAGTGGAGACACCAGAGAAGACCGAAGGCTCGCTGATGCTTTGGAGGACTTGGCCGACGCGCTAGTAAATGCCGAACAGCAATCTGCGTCGAGGTGAGTCATCTGCATCCTTACCCTCAATGGAAGCGAGCTTGGAGAGTGTCTAGAAAACCCGTGGCGATTCAAAGGTCCTGCTGAGCGCTTGAAAGAGGTGATGAGAAAACCTGCTGGATCACGCCGTCAACGCATTCCCCCACCAGAGTTCGCCCGATAGAGAAAAATACGATTTCTACCCCGACGGCGGGAGGCATCATCCCGCTGCCTCCTCTATTAGCCAAAAGGTTCATCTCATGGCTACTGACGAACAGTGGGCCTGGGTGCTTGGTGAATCAATACACAAAGATCCCTACAGCACCTTTGGCAGCGATCACCATCAGCGCTGGCAATCCTTCAACGCTCATCTGCCTATGCAGGGTACTCAGCAAATTCTCGTCGAGCTCACTCGGGCGAGCCGGACACCCGTCGGGATGCGAATGCCATTCGCCCACATAATCCACCATGCCAGCAGTACGCTTGTGTACTACCTCCAGCGCTTCTGCCTGGCCCTCTTGCCCTCTGATGAAATGGCTCGGACTGGCCTCGCTATCCGGCGGTGCCGGCAGAACGTCAACAATGACAATCGTCTTCGTTTTGAGATCCGTGACGCCGAGGATTGCGCCACCCGTTTCGTTCGGAAGGGCCTTCTGTCGAGCGGTGTACAATTTCTGAACCAGTGACTCGTCGTACTTCACCGTCCAGCCAGATGATTGCGCAGTGTGCACTTGCGCGGTGTCGATCTCATGCGCGGTAACCGATCCAGATCGGTCATCTGATTCCCAGACACAAATTCTTGCCTGTGACTTGGCGACCGACTGCCGAAGCTGCCTGGAAAGAATTCCGGCATGACCATGAATAGATTCACCCGACATCCTTACAGAAATGTCACGACAGCCACCACCCACCCAGCGATCCCCCAGAGGCTGGGCCAAGTGCTCATGACCCCACTCGTTTTCCAGTATCGCTCGGTAGTACTGCCCCTCCAGACCATCGATGCGCTGAAGCCTGTCCTGATCTTCGAGAATCATCACGCTTGAGAGACCTGAAGGTGTAACGAACAAGCTCACGGTGCGGGGAACTTCCGGTCTACGGGCGAGCTCACGTGGTGCCTCCAACGTGGTCGTCACATCCACCACGATTTGCGCAACGCTCAACGACAAGGCGATCTCCTCGGTATCCTCAAGTATGCTTTTGGCAATTGCCTTGGGTGGATCCCAGTTCGGAAAGATCTCTACAGCCAGATCCCTCACGACGTTGACCTTTGGCAGGCCAACGTATAAATCGAACGCTATATGGCGGCATAAATTGTGAGGCAACACCCGGTCAGGGTCTATGAACGTCCACCGCCCCCAGCCTTGGCGAGTCCATAGATCAGCCAATACGCTACCTAAGGCTCCCACTCCGGCCAGGACGCCTTGGATGTCACTGTTTTCCTCAGGGGTGCCCGATAGATCACGAGCGGCTTTGGCTGTGAGAGCCCTTCGAACTTCTACCGACATGAGCGGGATCAATCGCCAGGCAATACCGCCAACTCCACCGAGGACTACGCTACGGTGACTCAACCCTTTCGAATCGGGTGGCCCCAGCATATCCAAGGCCGTTGCGAGGTCAAACAGAGAGACATCCAGCATGTACCCAGCTACGTCAAAGCGTTCAGCCTCGCCGTCGCGTACGCGCGGAATCCAGACAGTAATGAGGACACCTTGGCCTTGGGCGGGAGCAGCAGAAACACCGCCTGCAATGGCGTCGTAAACGGTCGCATGAAGCGACTGATAGAGGTCGCTGCCCCAGCTTACGAGTTGATCATGCAGATCACCCAAGGTCTCTGGATAGCGAGCCAACGTTGGCGATCCCACAGGATTGACCACCATTGAGACCATCCTGACCAGCTTCGATTGGTCGCCTGGCCGAGTGGGATCGGCCCTCAAGATGATCGAGTCACCGACATCCACTTTGCAAATGGTCAACGTGTTGCTACCCGATTTTGCGTAATCGGTATAGTTAGAAGGCAGGATAAGCTGGTAAGGGCTCATGTAAAAAAGCTGCTCAACCGGCTGATCGCTTCGGTGCAGTTTCAACAGTGCAGACTCTCGCAGCCACCAAAACATTCGAGCGATGAAACGCTCCGGCGTCCAGGTTCGCTCGACCGTCGACCAATTGCTGTCGTACAGACAAAGCACCCTAGCCCCGCCAGGGGAAGGTGGATGCTGGTGCGACAGCACAGGGAAGTCTTTGCGCAGTGTGTAAACCACTACAGGCACGCGGAAGTCGGGGTTTACACCGACCGCCAATCGCTCGCGTCGCCTGACTCCTCCGAGATTGCCCGAATCCACTGTACCGTCGCCGGCATCGATGACAATGTATTCGCTGATTATCGTCCCTGGTTTGTCCTTCCTGATTTCTCGAACGTCGGTGTAGGGACAAGCCCGTAAAGCTTTGAGGAGTGCCTGGGTCTGGGGATAGAGGTGATCCTCCTCTGCACCGTCCAAAACCTCACCGAGCTCGTAGTAATCGATCATTTGAACTTGCCAGCGCGTGGCGGAATCGACGCCGCTACGGAACTCGGTACCGCTCCAGCAAGCGCTGCAGCAACGGCCAGCAGTTTGACCTTACCATCCGACCGAACCTCGAAGTCCATGCAAGCCTTCTCACCGAGATCCCCAGTGCAAGAGAACCAACCATCAACTTCGTCCAGGATGTCCTGATACTCACGCTTCGCCCGGATGCAGGGCGGATCGCAATAATCGTCGAGAATCTCAACACTGCTGGAAACGATCGTTGCGCCATTGCGCGCCTGGCTCAGGGCGTGGCGGGCATCCCAACTTACCTTGGCGTTCTCGCCCTTGCCCGACCAGCTGTCCCAAGAAAGCGTGTGCCAGGAACAGTGGTGCGGAGCCAGGAGCAGATCATATTCAAGCACCTCGGGCGTGGACTCGTAATGACTCCACATCCGCTCCCAGATCAATACCTCAGCGTCACCGCCAACAAGGAATTTGGTTTTGGTTTGCGAGTAAGCCGACGGCGAGATCTGAATATTCATGATCACGCTCGATTCGTTTTTCGTCAGGTCTTCTTCAAGATCCGCATCATCTTCATGCGGTGCCGGTGCAAGCAGGTGCGAGGTGAAAAACTGCGGAAGGTTTTCACCCGCGATCTGGCTGAAAGTCTGGCCGGCTTTAACCAAGATTGGGCCAAGGTCGTCAGTCTTCCCCTGGTTGTCTTCGCCCATGATGCGAATTCGGTTCCCATCACCTGCAATGCGATAATTGCGCCAGTAGGTCACTCGCCGCCGCGCTTCTTTATCGAAAGCTTTCGCGTCGTCACAGAGGATGTGGTTCTTCGAACTCCGGCGGAATACCAGAGGCGACGACCACATTTCACGGATCAAAATCCGCCTCTCCCAACGATCCTTGCCGTCGTCAGGGTAGTCCGCAGGATCGCCAAGCCAGAAGTGATTTCTCAGGCCAGCACAATGGTCTTGGTCGGGATGACTCAGGAGGAAGGCGTTGACGAATGGGCGGTCTTTGGCATCCCACTGCAGCCGCTCTCGCAATGCCCTGCCCACGTCAGGAGTGTCATCGTCCGGGTTGTCCGCGGCCTGGCGGATCCGCGAGTCAATCAGAATGGTGGTGACCAACGTATCGGCCAACCGAATCAACGTCATGTCACCGGTACCCACTTGGAAAAACGTCACCTTGGCAGCCATATATCCCTCCCCGGGCACTGGGCTATCTTTGAGAAACGCTACAGATACGGTAAGATACGTATAGAAACTCAACCCGTCTAGATACTATGCGAATATTTTTTATACCCATTACCGACCAGGCTGATTTCAGATGACTGCTACCGCTACTCGTACCGGACGCTGGGGGCAGGAACGCCGCCTTGAATTTATCGATTTTCGGCTGCTGTGGGAGCGAAAACTCAATCGCTCAGACCTGACCATTTTTTTTGGGATTTCTGTTCCTCAGGCCTCATTGGATTTCGCGACCTATCAGGAACTCGCCCCTGACAACATGGCCTATGACCGAACGCTGAAAGCGTACGTGGCAGGCCCTGACTTCAAACCCGTCCTGACGAACCCGGATCCAGCGCACTATCTAAATGAGCTACTGCAGCGTGGCATTGGCAATATCGCCCCAACAGATAGTTTCATCGGTTGGGCGCCCCCAGTGGCGAGCCTACCGTCCCCCATGAGGCAGGTTGATCAACAGATCCTGATCAAGCTGATCAGGGCGCTCCAGGCAGGCGAGGCAGTGGATGTCGACTATCGGTCAATGACCAATTTCGACGAGCCAGCTGTTCGGACGATCTTCCCCACATCGTTCGCCCATGACGGCTTTCGTTGGCACACCCGCGCCTTCTGCTTCAAGTCAGGGATATTCAAGGATTTCGTTTTGGGTCGCATCAATGCCCTGAAGGCTTCGTTCGCCCCTCCTTCAGAGGTGCCAGAGGACGTTGAATGGGAGACCTTCATCGATGTGGTGATCGGCCCGAATCCGAGCTACCCACCACAAAAGCAAACGGCGATCGAGCACGATTACCAGATGGTGAATGGCGAAGCTCGACTTAGGGCTCGCAAGCCACAGTTGTATTACCTAAACCGCCGGCTGAACCTGAACGTGAAGCCAGGCGACCCGGTCAGTGAGCATCAGCAAATTGTGATGCTTCGGATTGAGAATGCTCACAAGGAGTCAGCAGCAGATGAGTGAAACCACTCCAGCCAAGCCAAAGACAGATCTGACGATCGTCATCATCATCTATCTGCTGGCACTTCTGGTCTTCGCGACCTACTCCATCGGTGCGATGGCTCTGGGTTGGCTTTCTGAGCCCTATAGGCCTCTGAGAGTGCCGTTGATGTGCGGCGCAATCGCCTACGTTGGCGGAGCCCTGTACTGCTTCCGTGCGATCTACCTCAACAAGTGCGTCCACAAGCGCTGGGATCCGGACTGGCACGTCTGGTATTTCATCCGCCCCATCACCAGCACAATCGCCGGTGCGGTGAGCTACCTCTTCTTGAAGGCAGGCTTGTTGGTACTGGAGTCGACCGCGAACGCCGGAGCAAGCGAAATTGGATTTTTCGCACTGGCCTTCATAGCCGGCTTCAACGTCGACAAGTTCGTGGCGAAAATTGAGGAGGTCGCGAAGGCGGTGTGGGGCATTGATAAAACCCGGAGTGGACAGACTCGGGCTGGTGAGGCGGAGCCGGCCAAACCGCCCACTCCAACCTCCCCTCAAGCCTGAATTAGGTTCTTGCTTGGGAGTTTGATGCGGCAGGCTCACTGCCTGCCGCCGAGACTTCGCCAGACAGCAACTCAAAGCAGATTCGGCAGGAGAATCTTCAGCTGTAGGAAGACAAACCACAAGAAGCAACCGCCACTGGCCAGGAACAGGCCAATGAGAGTGAGCCGGCATAACGGGCGCATCGTGTTTTGCCACTGCGCCACAATACGAGTGAATGTCAGCGCAGAAGCGTCGGTGCGGAACAGGTAGATGAAACCTTCCGCGTACGCCGACACCACCAAATTTCTAGGGGTTGGTAACCGCGATTGAAAATCCAGTGAGTTGTCGAACCAGCGCACCACCAAGTCGCCTTCCTTGCCCACCTTAGCCATTTCCGCCTCACTCTCATTCATGACGCTCAAGTGGAGGTTACGCAGAGGCATATTACGTGGGCACATTCGATGTACCGGCATGAACTTTTGGAATTCGTTCGGTTTGAATTCTTCTCGCCAGATCGCTGTCGATGTCAGTTTGGCGTATTCATGAAGTGCATACTCGATCCGTGCGGATGCGAATTCACCAAAGCCGCCGTAGGCTGGAATTTCACCATGCCGAGTGATGTCAAGCGCAAGTCGGTGTTTATAGGACTCTGGTTTAATTCCGTCTACATCCAAGTCATAAGGTTTAACGCTCCACCAGCGTCGCAGCTCATCCTCAACAAGAGCGAGTAGCCAACGCCGCCCCTCAATGCCAAGGTATTCCTCCTTCCCAGCAAGCGTGCGCTTTAGCAGAACCGGACACTTCCACTCGAACCAGATAACCGCTAACAAGTAAAAGCCCCCGCCCACCAGCAACCAGCTCATAGGCCCGACCGCGGCTTCTGCGCCCTTCAATGGCGGAGCTGCCTGAATGAATGCGGCGACCAACCCCCCACCGCTGCGAGCTTGATACCGGCGCCTGACTTCATCCGCGACCAGTACGACCAACTCATCATTTGTCGAAACCGGTGATATGCCATTTCCTGGCGCGTGTTGCGTCGCTCAGCCAAGGGAGGCCTGTAGAGCTCCTCATTCGGGAATTCATCCCAAAACCAGGAAATCCGGCTGAACTCAAACCGTCTCTCCCGACGCTTGTAACGACGGTGTTCTTTTTCCGATTCCGCTATCCGCCGGCGCATCTCATCGGTGAGCACGAACGCCTTTTTTGGCTTGATTGAGTCGTTTTGGTTTTCAGGTTCTGCTAGTTGGTTTTCAGCTGACAATGTGCCGCTCCTTGTCTGTTTGCTTCCGCGGGCTGCAAACGCAGGCGGTTCACAGCAAGCAAGTTAACGAACCAGATCAATGTCCTTAGCGTAGGCACCTGGCGTATGGATTGCGGATCCAGCAGGCTGATCAAATCACGGAGCGAAAAATTGTACTCGGAGAACAACGACGCAGCTTTTGCTCGAACTCAATCTCATCGATCAGTCGGAGACCTGCAGAGGTCAGTCACAATTGTAACGCGAGTAGAGCAGCGCTCGTCGAGGCGCCTTCTAGCCCAGCGATACACCGATGTTGGGATATTGGGGGCATGAGATCAAATAGATTTCTCCGGAGCGCGGGAAAACAGACCTATTACAGCCTAAACTCTCTTCCTTCCGAAGCACCCCAGCGCTTAAGCTTAGGACTGCATCGCCACACGGGGAGCGGTGACCGGACATTGTGGCCTACATCATGGAAGAAGATATATCTATGCCAATAGGTGCACTTTCAGCGATTTCAATTTCTTATAAGTGGAAGCAAAAAAACCACTCCACAAAAGCTTGCCGGCTGCTGCCTGCTAAATCTTCACAGCGTCTAAAATCTGCCACAACACAACCATCGACAAAGGTCGTTTACGGCCTGACGGGATCGTATGCATATTAATTTTGTAGTCGGGAAAAATGGGTCAGGCAAAAGCCGTCACCTCCAAGAGATCGCTCAATTTTCACGAAGAGATACATTAGTTATCTGCAATACTGTACACGACAGATACAGATTGCGACCTAGTGTAAAAAAGTTTTCCGCACGCAACCCTAGAAACACGCCATCGAACATTATTAAATCCGCTTTCATAGAGCTGGCCCGCGAAGGCACATACAGATTAAACGCGATCGCAAAGGTCCTTGAATACTGCAATTACAATCCGAGAGTAACATTCATAGGGGTGCTACACAAAGACGCCGAAGAAAAGCTCGCAGAGCTTAACCGTATAGGCATTGGGGGCAGAATATACTTTGACATAAACCCCAATGTCATGGAGTTGATTTCAGAATCGATAGGCAATGGGCACCTAGTCTTTGAAATCAATCTTGCCCAGAGTTATATGGAGCCGAGAGTTCAGGAAATGCTTTTAGCGATACTGGAAGGTGAACGTTACCTAAAGAAACTAAAGCTTTTAAAAAGCGTAGAAGTATATATCCAACATGAGCATGGAAATGGATTTCTAAGGATCGACCAAGCGAGTTCAGGGGAGCTAGCGATGATCGCCTCGCAGGTTTTTATTCTCACCAATGTGCGAGATGGCAGCTTGATTTTGATCGATGAACCAGAAAATAGCCTCCACCCCCAGTGGCAAAAGGACTATGTAAACAAATTAGGTGATCTGATCGGACGGTATGATGTCGAAGTCCACATTGCCACCCACTCCCCACTTATCGTCTCAGGTATAAGGAATAGCGAAGACAGGATTAGCTTCCATTATGCGGAAACCGGATTTTCGACCTTGGGTGATCATCCAGTTCCGAGCGTAGAAGAAAGCCTCTGGGAGCAATTCGAAACGATTACACCTGAAAGCAGATATGTTAGCGACCATGTCGTCGATCTCCTGGAAGATCTAGACAATAAAAAGCGCACCTTTTATGAAGTTACACAAGCATTGGAAAGTATGGAGCGCGCGTCCTATGACGAGCGCCAAGGAAAGGTCTTACAGGCTGCGAAGAAACTGGCTATCGAAATTCATCAGGAAGCTCAAAATGTCTGACCCCTTGCAGCCGCCACTGACTGATTTCGTTTTTACAGCAGAAGAGGAAGAAGCCGTTGAATTTGCATTGACCACCAGTAAGCCCTGGAAGCATGAGCATGACGACCTCAAGGGTGTAAGGGCTGTCTTGGTCGCCTTGAAGGATAGAGTTCGTAGCTTCCACCTAAAAAGACAGAGTTCTAAGTGCTGCTACTGTCGTATGAATCTTCACGGCGGAGGCAGTTTCATCGTTGATCGTGAACATATCGTCCCCAAGGATAAATACCGCGACCTAACCTACGTTATTTCCAACCTTTCTGTTGCCTGCAAACGGTGCAACATGCAATTCAAAAAGGATGACGTGGGGTTTCTCATAAGTCGCGACACCATTCTCACTAATCACGGCTCAAGCGATCAATATCGGTTCATCCATCCAAATTTTGACAAATACAGTCAGTTCATCAAAAAAATAAGCTATGAGGAAGGTGACCAAGCCTACGTTAAATACACAAAAACGGACCATCCCAAGGCCGAATATACATACTCCTATTTCGACTTGCGAGCCTTGGAAGTGAATAGCTTCGATCAGGGTCAGGGCATTGATACTTCAAGCGTAAGTATCCTCATACGCGAGCGCCTGGATCAATTAGTCAGCCAGCTGGGCTAGCTGGTCAGTCTATCCATCCATGCTGCCGACTAGATGTCGGTGGGCAGCATGGACGCACCATGGAGTGGGTGCGAAAAAAGAAATCTCATATCACCCCGCGCTGCGCCTCGGTAGCCCTGGCTGTTGAATTTCCATCGAGGAACCCAGCTTGCGAAGCGAAGCCCCTGGGGGGCATCTCACGCGACCTACTGTGCTTACGGGGACTTCAGAGCAATTACTCATAGTTAGAATTTGCGAAAAGCTCTATTCTCCCTAGCAGTGGCCTACACTAAGGACTCCAAGTCGGCTGTGCGAGGAGTATGCCGAGAACGCAAGCAATCGCCTCGGGTTTTCAACCAAATTCTCGGAACCAAGGCGTTGCAACCTTCTATTGTCAGTGAGATGCTACTCAGATCGGCTCCCACAGCCGTGTCTGATATGAATCTCCGAAACCGAAGTATTACTGGTGGAGTTCTGAGTCTGCGCTGGATCAGGAAGCCCAGTAGCCTGCGGATTTGACGCGAAATTTTCGCTACCCTGAGGTCTTCTAAATTCTCATGCGATCCTTTTCGACGCGTGAAAGAAAGCAACAGTTGTATTGTGTACATCTCAAGGAGGAACGTATGTTAGATCCTGACGCAAAAAGAATTCCAGATCCTCTGTATGATCTCGGTCTTTATATTCATACTTACCATCAGCAAATGATAGATGAGAATCTTGATTTTCTTTTTAAGAATTTCTCAACGCATTTCAGAAAGTTATTTTATTCGTCGTGCCTGCTTTATAAACTTCAAGGGGACAAAGACTTTTTACAAAAATACGATAGCACTAAAGCCGTCAGCGTTCAAAATATAGAATATTGTTTTTATAAAATAAGCACTGTTTGGGAAATGGCATTCGAAATCATAGCCAAGCTAGATAAGATTCCGAGTAAGAAAGTTAGGAATACCCATTTCATGGAGAGGTTTTCCCATCATGGGATACCTTTAGACTTGGGGTGGTATAATGAAATAAACACTATTAGGAATAGGATTACTCACGGGGGGATACGGATTATGCCGTTTCACACCGTCGACGATAGCAGTACTCCTAGAATTTGTTTTCAAGCATACAATATTGAATTTTCAGATAGGACTGCGCACAATACTTACTACACCAACATCCATAACAACTGTATAAACTATGCGGATAATTATTTCGCTTTTCATACGCACTTGCTTTATCGATTTCTTGGAAATTTATTTAGAGTAACTCTGCTTGATGTGGCTGAGAGGAATGGGCACGACATTAATGATTTGAAAGAACCTCCCGAGAGTTGTTTTTTTGAAAGCGAAGTGGTCGCGCTTAAAACCTGGCTTTTATCTGACACTGATTCGTTTCAGTCGATTACGGATAAAATGATCTACCTTAACATCACTGGCGGCTACATGCGTAACTTTGATGAATTTCCTCGTGAGAAAATCATCGAAAAATACGAAGGTTTTCCTTTTGATTTGATGAAGATAATTTCGACCGCATCGCGATTTGCTTACCCGATAGAGGGATGACGCTGTAACTTTGGATTAAGTTAGAGGTGGGCGGAGATCTTAGCCATCTTCGCTCATTCTATTTTTTATTCACAGAATCTATATGGTAGGCCATCATTTTTCTACGCCAATGAAGGTGCTGATTAGTTAAGTCCGAGCGAAATACCGCTTTAAGGACGAGCATCGGCATCAGTATTTTTGATATTGAGACCTTGGTGGGCTGGCAGAGCCACCTATGAATATCAATCGATGAACAAGTGCGTTAGTTTCTAGTATGTTCATGAACTGCCTAAGCTACTGCTTCGACAAATCCGCTTCTGACGACCACAAGTGGCTAGCGTCGAAGGCGCAGATTCGAGATTGACTACAAGTACCATTTATAAAATGTGCTTGAACAGTAACCCTGTCGGAGAGTTTGCACGAGCAATTTGTTCTGCGTGCAGATCTTTATACTTTGTCCTGATGTCCTTCAGATTAGGGAGACCAACCATTCCTAAAACACCACCCAGCGCGCCTAGGGCCACATTTCCTGTCAGGGCCCCCGCTACTCCGATTGTTCCGGCAGCTAGGCATGATGCAACGTCGATTCCGTAAAGCTTGAGTTTTTTATTACGCGCGTCTTTCAGCGACGCTTGGTGCGCCGCGAAAGCCCGACCCAGGTTTTCGACGACTTGGTCGGCTGTCCGGAAGTAATTCTCTGGTCGCACTTTGATCAGCTCAGAAACACCCTGACCCAGTAAAGACCTCAGTTCTTCAGCCAAACCAGCCTTCCGGATGTTTAACACTGTTTCCGGAGGAACGTTGCCGAGCCACTCTAAATTTTTATCTGCCTCAGCGCTCAATGCACGCATCACATGCATGCTTTTTCGATCATCAATTGGACGCTCTACCACTCCACCTTGGTAGTCCAGCATCCAATTGAAGTACTTCCATGACGTCTCCGCGCCTATAAATGGTGTCCCGCCAAAGTGATTAGCGCACTGCTGAGAAGCCAATGCTTGGGGCATGCGTCCCAAGCAAGCATGCAACACATGATTTCCTGCTATAGCAGGGTTCAAGCCTGGGGTGGCTCCATCTTTCATAGCCCTGACCAGTTGCGCACGAGCATCTCTCCCCCAATCTGTATTAATGACCAGTCGATCAGCACCTTTAAGCTCGCCAAGCACTGCCTCGATAGAAGACAGCTCTTCACAAAACTCAACCAAGTGTTCAACGGACTCGAAATCACGGCCAAACAGATAGCCGCCATGATCACAGGACAAAGGCCGGCTCTGCTCAGCTAGCAGCTCTCTATCTTCATCATTCATATCCCTTGGATTAGGTGAAACGACCACCAATGGAGGCTCTATTTCCGCCAGTGCGATATCCCTATAAGTCATCGCATTCAAAACGTGCTTGATAAATAGCTCAACGACCTGTTTGGCTGGCAATGCTTCAAAAAGCGGGGCGATCTTGAGAATCGGGCAAGGGAGCACGATAGTGTCAATGTAAAGTCCAGCAGTCGATACAACGTTTTCCCAATGCGCGGGGAACAAGTCACCAGAGAAGGTAGCTTTGAACTGCTGGCCATCTTGGAGGTGGAATGCGGCTGGATCTGACACCGATGACCAGAACTCCCTGATACCCTCTGCCAGTTCGGGCAGAGCTTTTGTGCAATGCTTCACCAACTCGTCATTTCTCACCGCAACTGCAGCCGCCTGTGCAGGTGTCGCATCAGCCTTGACCATCGGCTTGTAAAGAAAATCGAATTCCCGGAACAAAAAATCAAAATATACACTTTGGATTTTTTGCAAGCTTACCGATTTTTTAGAGTCCTCTCGGTAGGCAAAGGCTCTGATGGCCAGAGTCATGGCGCGAATCCGACCATCAACAGTTGTCGGATCGACAAGGCCATCAGGGCGTAACCGAATCGCCATTAAACTTACTCTGAAGTCATCTACCAGATGCGCTGCAACATGAAGTTTTCCCTCTTCGAGCCGGGCTCGGAGCAAGAAGACTCTGTCCGTGAGATCCTGAACTTCTTCTTCGGAGTATTGGCGCATCCTGGTCGTCTCTTCATCGTTCAATGGTGGGTCGGCACTAACGTCGCTCAGACATTCTATTGCAGATCACGCTGGCAGCGTACGCGACCTTGCATTCATCGTTGCGTAAGGGATCACGGGCGTGCCTACACTTGGCCTGACATCCATGCCTTGCTCTGCGTAACCGACTGCAGCCACCATTCCCGAAATGCTGAAAGCTCAAGACGCAGTTCGATGGCGCGGGGGGTGACGATCCGGCGATTGTAGTCATTTGGAATGGTCATGCACCAAGCGGCTCGCCCGGATGTCACCATCGGCCAGCATCAAAACCCCAGTGCGACTCCCTGCCCATCTACCGCAGCGTCCTCACCGCGTGAGTAGCCACCAAAGGCTGGATTGACCAGACGAGCGGGAAACCTCGTCCATGAACATAAATCGATGAACAAACGCATTCGTTTTGAGCTATTGAGCCAAGTGTTGTGGGCTTGTGAGCGGCTCATGAACATCTGACATCGCCCACTTGTTAAATCACGTACCAGGCTATGGCAGCCCACTGACCCATCTGTCATCCCAGGACTTTATAAATCTCGGAAACCACCTGCATCGTCGCCCCCTCAATCGTTCCTTCATTCCGGCATAAGACCCAACCGTGATCTGCAACCGCTCGTTCGAACGCCTGGGTACTGGCGACATGTTCGTCCAGCTTATGCATCACCGTGCTACTCAGCCCACGCCGGCGCGCAGCAGCCCTTGCCCATGAAACTTCAGGCGCGGTGACAACCCCGACATGCAGGTCCGGCACTTGCACGTTTCGGTCAATGTTCAGCCGCAGGATCTCTTCCATCGGGACGGTGCGGCGAAACGCGGCATCAGACGGATACCAGCGATCAATCAAGACGATACTGCCCGGCGGCTGTTCAGCCAGCACATGCCGGGAAATCCACGCACGGCTATCCGCAAAGCGCTCGCACACTTCCCACTCCAAATCCCGACTCGGACTTCTGGCAAGCTGGTTAACGAGGGCCATTGTTTCACTTCTGTAGGGATCGCTTTTTCTCTCGCAAAGCCGGATCACCTTTTTATTGCCTGCCCTCAGTACTTTCGTAACGGCTTCCAACAGCGTGGTTTTGCCGGTGCCCTTGGGCCCATCCATAGATACAAACAGCGGACGATCAACCGCCTGGCTCAACACGGCTTTTCAATCCGGGTGCGCGTGGTTTCGGCGATTACCTTCGCCAATGCAGCTTGGTCAAATGGTTTGGGAAGTCGCGTCAATGTGGTTTTGATATCCAGGGTAATCTCGGAAAATCCTGACGAAAGGATGATAGGAAGTGTGGGAAACAGCGATTCGATATTGCCGGCGAGCTCAATCCCGGTCATGTCCGGCATTGCCATGTCGGTGACCACCAGGTCAAAACGCTTGCCTTGGGCCAGGAAAGACAGCGCCGCCTGGCCGTCTGCCGCCAACACGACATGATGGCCCAGGTCTTCAAGCATCGCCCCGGTGCTGATGAGCACCAGTGGGTCATCGTCTACCAGCAGAATGTCGAGGCTTCGCTGATGGGCGACGTCTGGCGTGTTTGCTATTGATGCCTGCGCTGGCGACTGCGTGGTCTCCATCACCGCCACCGGTAACCAAAGCTCTGCGGTTGTGCCCTCTCCCTCCGTGCTTTTCAACACAAAGTGGCCCTGTGATTGTGCCGCCAGGCCGTGCACCATCGAAAGGCCAAGCCCGGTGCCTTTTCCCGCGCCTTTGGTGGTGAAAAACGGCTCCATGGCCCTTTGCAGGGTCGCGTCATTCATCCCGGGGCCGGTGTCGACGACAGAGATGCAAATCAACCTTTCGGATTCATTCGGCCTGCCGGGAAACGAATCTTCCCTCGCCGAAATCAGAATCCGTCCCCGACCTTCCATTGCGTCCCGGGCGTTGATGACCAGGTTCATCAAGGCCATTTCCAGTTGGCTCATGTCGACCAATACTGGCCGCAAGATCAGCGGGAACTGTGTGTCTACGCTGATGCCAGCCCCTAAAATCCGGGACAGCAGATCAGACATGTTTCTGATCAGGCCACCCACATCCACAGGCTGCGGATCCAGTTCCTGGCGACGGGCAAAGGCCAGCATTCGCTGGGTAAGCGTCGCGCCCCGTTCGGCACCAGCGATCGCGTTATTCAACAGGGAATAGATTTTCGAGTCTTGTGGAACGCGCTTCTTGGCCAGTTCAAGGCTGCCAAGGATCACCATGAGCAGGTTGTTGAAGTCATGGGCGATACCACCGGTAAGCTGGCCCAGGAATTCCATTTTCTGGGACTGGAACAAAGCCTCGCGGGTTTCCTTGATCTCCTGTTGGGCCTGAACACTCTCGGTCACGTCCCGTGTGATCTTCGCGAAACCCACCAGCTCGCCTAGCTCATTCTTGATCGGGTCGATCACCACATGAGCCACAAATCCCGTGCCGTCCTTGCGCAGACGCCGGCCTTGCCCTTCGTAGCGACCTTCGCGCACAACCGTTTCGAGGCGCGCTGCGGGACGTTGTTGTCGACGTCTTCACGCTGGAAAAACATGGAGTAATGTTTGCCGATGACTTCTGCCGGCTCATAACCCTTGATGCGCTGGGCACCGGCGTTCCAGGTGGTGATCACGCCGTGGGGATCCAGCATATAGAGCGCGTAGTCGGTCACGCCCTGTACCAGCAGGCTGAATTGCTGCTCACTCTGGCGCAGGGCCTGCTCCGCTGCCTTGCGCTCGGTCAGGTCCCGTGTGACTTTTGCGAAGCCGATCAGCGTGCCATCGTCGGCGCGTATCGGGTCGATAATGACCAACGCCCATAGGCGCGTGCCATCTTTCCTGAGGCGCCAGCCTTCACCCTCGAAGCGGCCTGACTGTTCGGCGCTCTTGAGGGCGCGACCCGGCAGATCCGAGGCCAGGTCTTGCGGGGTGTAGAACAGCGAAAAATGCTTGCCCAGCACTTCGTTTTGTTCGTACTGCTTGATCTTCTTCGCGCCCGAGTTCCAGCTGCAAATCAACCCGTTGGTATCAAGCATATAGATGGCGTAGTCGACCACTGCGTCGACGAGCAGCCGATAACGGTCGTCCTGATTGAAAGGCCCGCTGGCAGGTTCGGATGGCATCAGGACAGCCTCGGGACAAATGAGTGGTTAGAACCCTCAGTATGTCTAAAAATCCCCTGCCAACCGGTTTATTAACCTGAACAGCTTCTTTTGAATCAGACACTCCTGCCGCGAGCAAATCGTGGAATCTCCAACCCCAGGCTTTCCGAAGCGTCGTCCCTTCATACGCCGTGCGATACACGCCGTGTTCCTGCAACAACGGATGACTTCCTGGGTAAACCAGCCAGAACTGCTGAGGATGCCCGATATAGATGTTGAAGCCATCCACCGCCCGCGCTTCAAACCAGTCCGCCATCTTTCGGGCGACCGTCGCCGCCGATCCCACAAACGCCCCCGGCCGCAGTTGCCGACCAAACTCCACCGCCTGGCGCAACGTAAAACCTTTTCTCCCGTGCCCTGATCGGCAATGCGCTTGGCATTGGTAAAAAGGCTGCTGCGCGCGCGGCCTCCAGACTTTCCTGTGGGAACGGCGCATCAGATCT